TATATATATATATATATATATATATATATATATATATACACACAATTATAGAAATAAGGTCTTCAAACTTATCTAATGCTATCTTTACAATACTTAAATGTGAAATGTAACTTAAAGGGGTCCTATTATGCTCTTTTACAATGTCTTGAATTTGTTTTGGGGGCGTACTAGAACATGCTCTCCTGCTTGGTGGTTCGAAAAATGCATAATTCTGTCAGGACCACTATCGTCAAGATGATAGATACTTAGCATAAAGTTTGGTTTGGCGGTACGGTTCTGTTCTGGGCAAAAACCTCCCTGCCCATCCATGCAGCCTGTCATGAATGAGCAGGGAGAGCAGCAATAATAACCCCCATAGGGTTAACAGAACAGAACCCTAGAACCGCCCAAACCACAACTGATGCCATTCTGAAAGAAGCATATCCTTCTGGAATAACAGAGACTGGGGAAGCAGCAACTTACAGGAGAAGGCAGCGAAGAACAGCATATCACGGACTTAAACACAGCTTGTTGGAAATAATCAACATAGGATGTGTTTAATGAAAGAGCATCCTCAATACTAGATGAGCCTTAAGCAGCAAGCCTGTTTCATATCAGACAGTCTTAAACAGATTTAAAAACAAGCCTCAGCTGTGGTAAGTTTAAATGGGTAACGTTAATGTTACCAGTGTGTCAAAATACAACCAATAAGCCTAAGCTACGGCGTGCCTAGCAAACCAACATGTTACTGAACAACTAGCCTTAAACAACGAGCAATATTTGACAATAGCATATTTGCCAACATAGCATTAAGCAATGAGAATGAAATAAGAAACTTAGCAGGAAGTGTTTTTTTTTTTAAAGCGCTGCTTGCTCCGGAGCAAGCTGAAAAACTGCTGAACAATACTGAATAGACCTTATATAGGAATGCCGCGATAGGTGTCGTATTCCTATAGGTAGATGTGATCAGCTGAGAATCACGTGACCTGCTAGAACTAACGCTAACGCTTAATTTTTTTTCATAATTTACATTATTACAACACCTCTCTCCCCAGTCTGGCACAAACGGCTCGATTAGTTCCGGGATTGATGAAAGCCCGCCCTCCGAAAAACGAAATGTGATGTGATTGGTTAGCTGTCCCAGTGCGTTGTGATTGGCGAACAACTTAGATGGTGTTTCAGTACTGCCCCGCCTCTTGCCAAAGCAGCAAGTTTAGTTAAAGGGGTCATATGATGTTGCTAAAAAGAACATTATTTTGTGTATTTGGTGTAATGAAATGTGTTTATGCGGTTTAAGGTTAAAAAAACACATTATTTTCCACATACTGTACATTATTGTTTCTCCTCTATGCCCCACGTCGATTTTTACAAAGCTCATCGGTCTGAAAAGCGAGGTGTGCTCTGATTGGCCAGCTATCCAGTGCATTGTGATTGGCCGAATACCTCAAGCGTGTGACAGAAATGTTACGCCCCTACCATACTGTGATGCCATGTCCCAGCCGGAGCGACGAGACAAAAACATTAAAACCCATTATAAACAAGGCATTTGTTGCATCCAGTGGGGACATAATTACAGATTATAATGACTGTCTTTTTGCGCGTTGCGTTGCATCACACCTCGTAAACATAAAACCATGTCTGCATTTGTGATCGAAGAAATGACAAACAACATCCGGCGAAGAAGGAGCATCCAGCAGGCTTTGCAACCATATGTGACGACCCCGGGCTGGATTCCGCTTCGTCCACGGTGAAAGCCGATCCGGCGATCCACAGCGCGAAGCTGTTGTATTTCCTCAGCGACCAGCATGGATCATCTCTAGGCATGACGAAGCGATATCGTCCTCTTTTGGAAGGTCAAACAAAGTAGTTTCGCTTTCGACATGGTGGCGGTGGCAACAACAATATTACAGCGAGAATAAAAGTTGTGCCTTTTTTCTTTGCGTGAACATTTGGGCGGCGTTATGCAAATCTTCCCACATCGTGACATAGACATGTGGGGGCGTGTTAGAACGAGCCGTTTTAGGTAGACGTGGTTGACTCTCTTTTCAGTTCTATACTGCCACCTGTTGGCGCAGTTGTGTAACTTGTGTAAAGAGAACGACTTCAGGTATGTCAAGATCAAGAGAAAATTAAGTCATTGTGATAAAGAGAAAACAAGAAAGAAAAATATTAATAATCCATGGCCTCTTAGGACTTCCGTAGAAGCTTGACATTATGAATGGAAATATATATAAAAAATTATAAATAGAAAAACGAAAATATCTGTCATGACAGTGGCAAAGTTTAGGGCTATTCTGATGGTGAATTTAAAGGCACAATATGTAATTTTTGTCTGGAGTATTCAAAATAATCAAAGAGCAGTGACTGAGTGTGGAATCATGGGAGTTGTCGTCTTCATCCCCACAGCCGACGCAATCCGACGGGACTCGGGCAGAAATCATGTTCATGGATGAGCTAATGATTTATTAACGTAGTAGAATGAAGCAGGGTGAGGCTGAAAGCCATTGAAGTGAAACGAGGCCGCTGAACGAGCGCGACACACGACTCGAAAGCAGCGGAGCTTTTATTATGCCACAGTCGACCGCTTCCGCTCCTTCCGGTCGTGCGTATGTGGGGGAAAGCAGCGCTGTTTTATCATACTAGATACGTTTGAAAGTTCTGTTATAATGCTACTCTGTGCGGTCGTCGCCAGTCTATTAAAACACACAACATGTTAAAGCGTCTTTGGTGTTTCCATGTTTTCCGGAAATCGAGGGGCTATGACGTCATTGGCAGGCGACACAATGACACTATAGACACGGTCCGTGTCACTAGCTAAAATTGCTTATTTCTCTGGATTTAAACATTCTTCGAAACATTTGGGATAATATAAGTACACAAGT